CTGGGGAGGCTGAGCCACTGGGCCCTATAGGACACCTACCTCACAAGGCCACTCTATCAACTCAAGGAGACTTAGCAGCTACCCAGTACATAGAAACAAACACACCTCCAAACTGCAGAGACAAAGAAGTCACAAATAAAAGAAATGGATGAAAGCAAAAAACTGGATATAGAGTTCAAAACCATGGTTATAAGGTTACTCAAGAATCTTCTAGAAACCTTCGAGAAACTTAGTGAGATTCTGAAGGATATGAAAGAGGACCAATCAGAAATTAAGCATACACTGACTGAAATAAAGAATAATATGCAGAGATTCAACAGCAGACTAGACATAACCCAACTATATGCTGTCTACAAGAGATCTACCCCAAGACAAATGAATCACACAGGATGAGAGTAAAGGAATGAAAAAAAACTTTTTCAGGCAAATGGAAAAGAAAAAAAAATGGGTAGCAATACTCATATCTGACGAAATAGACTTCAAAATGAAGACCATCACAAGAGACAAGAAAGGTCACTACTAAAGGGATTTATTCAACAGGAGGGTATAACCCTAGTAAACATATATGTACACAATATATAATAAGAACACCTACATATGTAGAAAACCTTCTAGAGTACTTTCAGGGAGAGATTGACAGCAATACAGTCATAATATGGGACTTTAACACCCCACTGACTTCACTGGTTAGATCCATCAGACAAAGAATTATCAAGGAAACAGTGACTCTAAATTACACATTGGATCAGATAGATTTAACTGACATTTATAGAACATGTTAACCCAAAGCTGCAGAATACACATTCTTCTCAAGTGTACATGGTCATTCACAAAGATAGATCATATATTAGGACACAAAACAAGTCTATAAGTTCAAGAAGGTTAAGATCATATCAAGCATCTTCTCAGATCACAAAGGAAAGAAATTAGAAATCAACTATAGTAAAAACACTCAAAAACATTCAAATGCATGAGGCTAAATAGAATATTATTTTTTAAAAATATACTTTTATTGCTTTCCAAGAGGAAGGGAGAGGGAGAGAGATAGAAACATCAATGATGAGAGAGAATTATTGATTGGCTGACTTTTGCATGTCCCTTACTGGGGATCTTGTTCTCAACCAGGGCATGTGCCTTGACTGGGAATTGAACCATGACCTCCTGGTTCATAGATAAGGTGACCCAATGTCCCATTTTTGGCGGGACAGTCCGATTTTTAACAATTTGTCCCACGTTCTGCGGCGTTTTAAAAAGTCCAAAAGATTTAAAAGAATCTTTCCAAAAATGGGAGTTTTTAAAAATGCTGCTGGATGCGGAACAAATTGTTAAAAATCGAGACTGTCCCCCCAAAAGCGGGATGTCTGGTCACCTTATACATAGGTCAACACTCAACCTCTGATCCATACTGGCCAGGCTAAATAGCATGTTATTAAACAATGAATAGATTATCAATGAGATCAAGAAAGAAATAAAAACTTCTGGAAACAAATGAAAATGAACACACTATAAACCAATCTCAGCAAAAGCTGTTCTGAGAGTGTAGTTCATAGCACTACAGGTCTACCTCAAAAAACAAGAAAAATTAACAATAAACTATTTAACTCTACAACTTAAAGAATTAGAAAGAGAACAACAACAACAAAAAAGCCCAGAGTAAGTAGAAGGAAGTAAATGAAGATGAGAGCAGAAATAAATGGCACTGAGATTAAACAAACCAACAACATATCAATGAAACCAAGACCTGGTTCTTTGAAAAGATAAACAAGATTGATGAACCATTAGCCAGACTCATCAAGAAACAACAGGAGAGGAACCAACTAAATGAAACCAAAACATGAAAGCAAAGAGTAACAACTGACACCACAGAAATACAAAGGATTGTAAGAAAATACCATGAAAAACTATATGCCAACAAGCTGGACAATATGGTTGAAATGGCCAAATTCCTAGAAAAATACAGCCACCCAAAACTGAATCAGGAGGAATCAGAAAACCTAAATAGGCCAATAACAACTGATGAAATAGGAGCAGTAATAAAAAAACAAAAAAACAAAAAAAAAAAAACCTCTCAGCAAACAAAAGCCCTGCTCCAGATGACTTCACAGGGGAGTTTTACCAAACATTTAAAGGAGAACTAACACCCATACTCCTCAAACTATTCCCAAAAATGCAAGAGGAAGGAACATTTTCAAGCTCTTTTTATAAGACCAGCATTATCCTAATTCCAAAAAGATACTACAAAGAAAGAGATTTACAGGCCAATATCCCTGATGAACATAGATGCTAAACTCCTCAACAAAATATTAGCAAATTGCATCTAGCATTATATATAAAAGATCACACACCATGACCAAGTGGAATTTATTCCAGGGATACAAGGCTGGTACAATATTCACAAATTAATAAATGTGATACATCATATAAACAAGTTGAAAGACAAAAATCACATGATCATATCAATAGACACAGAACAAGCACTCAGCAAAATCCAACACCCATTTTTGATAAAAACTCTCAGCAAAGTGGGAATAGAGGGAGCATACCTCAACATAATAAAGGACATATATAACAAATCTAGAGCGAACATTAGACTCAATGGGCAAAAACTAAAATAATTTCCCCTGAGAACAGGAACAAGACAGGGATGTCTGCTTTCACCACTCTTATTTGACTTTGCACTGAAAGTCCTAGCCACAGTGATAAGACAAACAGAAATAAAAGGTATTCAAATTGGAAAGGAGGAAGTAAAACTCATTATTCACAGATGACATAATATTATATTTAGAAAACTATAAAGATTCCACCAAAAAAACTACTAGATTTAATAAATGAATTTGGCTATGTAGCAGGATATAAAATCAATACTAAAAAATCTATGCCTTTTTTATACACCAATAATGAATTATCAGAAAATGAAACTAGCTTGACCAGTGTGACTCAGTGGTTGAGCATGGACCTTATGAACCTGGAGGTCACAGTTTGATTCCTGGTTAAGTTACATGCCTGGGTTGCAGGCTCGATCCCCAGTGTGGGTGTGCATGAAGCAGCCAATCAGAGATTCTCTCTCATTATTGACATTTTTATCTCTTTCTTCCTCTCTGAAATAAAAAAAATAAAAAAGAAAGAAAGTGAAACTAAACAAACAATCCCATTTACCATTGCAGAAAAAAAAAAAAAGTTACTTAGGAATAAACCTAACCACAGAGGTAAAAGACTTGTATTCAGAAAACTACAGGATGTTGAAGAAAAGAAAGAGGAAGATATAAACAAGTGGAAAAATATACTGTGTTCATGGATTGGTAGAATCAACATCATTAAAATGTTCTTACTACCCAAGACAATCTGCAGATTCAATATAATTCTTATTAAAGTACCAACTGCATATTTGACAGCTATAGAACAAATGCTCCAAAAATTTATATGGAACCAAAAAAGACCCCGAATAGGCACAGCAATATTGAAAAAGAAGAACAAAGTTGGAGGAATCACATTACTAAGATATCAATTGTACTACAAAGCCACGGTAATCAAAACAGCCTGGTACTGGCACAATAGGCATATAGATCAATGGAACAGAACAGAGATCCCAGAAATAGGCCCATGTCATTATGCTCAATTAATATTTGGCAAAGGAGGCATGAACATACAATGGAGTTAAGACAGTATCTTTAATAAATGGTGTTGGGAAAATTGGACAGTTAACATGAAAAAAAAACAAAACAAAAAACTAGACCACCAGCTTACACCATACAGAAGAATAAACTCAAAATGGACGAAAGACTTAAATGGCCATGCAAGTGATCCTTTGATGACTCCTGCCCATCACTATCTCACTGCAACGTGAGATCCTTCCGTGGGAACTGCTGAGGCCAGACAACCCACAGGGACCATCAGACAATAATCCGTTGCTCTTTGAAGTCGCTAAGATTTGGTGTGCTTTGCTCTGCAGCAATAGACGACTGGAACAGACCCAAAATCCTGCCATCCAGAGAGAATCACTATCAACATGTTGGGTTTCCCACACATGCATATTTTTAAACAGGTATTTTAAAAACAAAACGTATAGATTTTTTTTTTTCCAGAGAGCAAAAGTTTATTTGTTTTGTTTACGAAGAGAGGAGAATTAGGGCCAAGAGAAAATGTGTTAGAGACAGAATGAAAAAAATCATTGACTGGGGGTGACATTAGCAGTCACGTACAAGTTCCAGTATGGTGTTCCATAGATTTCATGAAAGGATGTGCCTGAGTCTTTGAAACAGAAGCAGACGTGACTAGATGGAGCGTGAGGCTATATCCCAGGTGAGGCATCATTCACCACTCCTCTGCTGGTGGATCCTGAGGCTGTCCCAGTGCTTCAGGATGAAAAGCAATGCTGCAATGCACCAGCTTATACGTCCGCTTTGATTGTACTCCTGAGCTATTTGTTAGGATACCTTCTTGGAAGTGAAAACTCCTGGGCACAGGGTTTGAGGAATCATTATTATCATTTTTTAAACAAAGTAATATAGGCCTGAGTCTGAGCTGTCCTTCTGGATGGCTACAAAGGAGGGCAATTTTGGCTGAAGGGTGCTCCTGTCTCCTTGGGCAGGAGGGCAAGGCATTTGGCAAAGTGTGCTTTCGGGGAGACCCAGCGACCCACCCCCACACTTGTGAGGTCTGTGTTCATGCTTAGAACACGCGTTCCGGGAGGCAGGCCCTGAGCCCGCTTGGCTTGCTTTTCACATGCTTTCACAGCCCAGAAGCTGGTGGGCAAACACCACCTTTGAAATAGTGACCTTTCTGGTTTGGGTTAGGGAGCTGGGCGAGGGGGGGAGGTCCTTGGGATGGGAGGGAGCTGAGTGTGGCCACAGGAGAGAGGTCAAGGGCGCTATGTGCTAACTAAGCCCCGCCCTCTTCCTTTGAGTCTCTAGACTACTTATTTCAAAAGCGACTACTTCTCTTTTATGCCCTTCCTGGCTTTGGCGATTTGCTCAGTCACAGGGTGCCTGCTCTCCCCCGCCATGACCCGCCAAGTCCTGCTCTTCACAGGTGTGCCAGGGGCTGGGGCTGGGAGGTGAAGGGTGAGGAGGAGGGCAATGTATGAGTCTGGGAGTAGAGAGAAGGGGTGCAGAATATCAGAGTTACATAGTTAGATTGGGGAGAGACAAAAACGATTTGGGAGAGGATAAGAGATTCACGAAAGAGCGGAGAGTAGAGCTAGACCGAGATGTGATAAGCAGAGAGCTTGGAGGAAGGACTGAATGCATAGGCTGTGCAAGGGGGCTCGGCTGGCTCCTCCACAGCACAGACGAGGAACCTGAGACTAGAGAGGCGACACGACGGGCCAAAGTGTGTACAGCAAGTTCCAGGTCCTCTTCTCGGAGGGTCTCTTCTTGGATCCCACCTCACCACCACTTTGCCCCCAGCTCTGTTTTCTACGTGTAGATGTTTGTTGAATGATGGGTGGATCAAATGATTTAAGTTTGGTTTCCTTGAATGCCTGTGATTTGTGGAGAATGAGCCAAAACCGGAATGAAATGCTTGAGGGTTGCCTAGGAAGGAAATTGCCTAAGGAGAGACTTTAGGAACTTGGTCTTGGGCAAATCAGCAGGGTGGGGACATAGGGTGGGGCTCAGAGAGGGGCTTAAAGCCCCCCGTGTAGGTGGGCTAGGCCAGGATCAGCAACAGGTCAATGGGCATAAGACAAAGGTTCCACCACCGACTTGTAGAGCCTGGGAGCCTTGAGTTGCAGAGGGACATTTGTAATCGGTTCATGCTCGGGGATGCTGATTTAATCCCAGTGAAGTGAGAAATGTTATCTCCCCCCAAAAATTTTTCTTGTGTCATTAGCAAATTTATATATCAAAAAGTGTACTCTATTATTATATTTTTAATCTCCTCAATGAAAAATCTGTGGGAATGCATTTGTTTCCTTGTATATAAGCACCTACCTGTATAATACTTACATAATATCCTATATAATAATATGAAAATCGACTGAGCAGTAGAACAACCGGTCACTATGACACACAGGGGCAAATGCTCAATGCAGGAGCTGTCTCTGGTGGTCAGTGTGCTCCCATAGGGGGAGCACCGCTCAGCCAGAAGCCGGGCTCATAGCCTCGGCAGCAGCATAGAGAGTGGGCCTAAGCCATCAGTCGGACATCCCCTGAGGGCTCCTGCAGTCCGGTCTGACAAATCACACTCTCTGAGTGTACGAATTTTGTGCACCAGGCCTCTTGTATAATATATGAGTATTATATAAGTTCATAATATACTCTACTTGCCTATGGCCCACAGAGCCTAAAATTTTACTATCGGGCCCTTCATGGGAAAAGTGTGCTGAGCTCTGCCCAGGCTCTGAGCTGCATAGGGAGCCCCACATCACCACCCTGGGTGAGGGTGAATCCTACAGGAAGGTGCACGGGGCAGGGGGTGAACTGCTTTCTTAACTCTGTGCTTCTCTCCTTCTGACCCTCACCCCTGTTTTCCCTCCAGCCTTGGCCTTATGTCATGGGTTCAACCTGGACACTGAAAACCCAGTGGTCTTTCGAGGGATTGCCAGGAGCTTCGGGCAGAGCGTGGTCCAGCTTGAGGGATCCCGGTAAGGGCCCCCACATTTCCTTTGTCTTTTATTTTGTTTTGTTTTGTTTTTCTTGGTTTATTTTTGAATAGTTAATACCAAGGAGTATTATCTATTACTATATCTCCCACACTCCTTTCTCCCAGTTCCTATCCCACAGGGTTTAAACATTTCTCCCCCACCCCCATTACAGTTTACATTCAATTTTATTTTGTATTAGTTTCATAGAGACAATCATATACTTTATTAAGGGTTTCCCTGACATTGCCAATACCCACTGACACCATGCACAGTTATTGCAATATTTTTTAACTATATCTCTTTTGTTTCCCTTCCCTGAGTAGATATATCAATAGAAATATTGCTATGGGAAATGCCAGAGATCTTACTCCCTATCTTTTCTTCTAAGACTTTATGGTCTCCAGTCTAACATCTATATCTTTAATCCGTTTTGAGTTTATTCTTGTACATGGCATAAGAAGGTGGTTGAGTTTCATTTTTTTTTTTTGCATGTACCTGACCAATTTTCCCAGCACCATTTACTGAAGAGACTGTCTTTACCCCGCTGTGTGTTATTGCCTCTTTGGCATGTGCTAATAGACCATAGAGGCGTGTGTTTATTACTGGGCTTTCTATTCTGTTCCGTTGATCTATGTCTGTTTTTATGCCAGTTTCTTCCAAGCATGCCCGCCCGGTGCTGCCGGCTGTGAGCAGCAGGAGCCGGGCGTGGGGCTTTGGTCCTGGTCTCTCAGCTTCCTGTGGAGGCTTTCTCCCCGCACGCACGCCTGTGGACATCCCTTCTCCAGAGATGGAGGAGTCTGTGGTTCTGCTGGCTTTCTGGCCAGGCCAGGAGGTGCACAGTGTCAGTGTGACCAGGACCTTTTTCTCCCCTCGTCCTTCCCTTCGCTTCTCGCAGCAGCGACTCTCCCTCCTCCTCGGTCTGTGGCAGGAGCGCCTCGCACAGCAGCGGGCGGCTCAGGTGGCTGGACCCCGGCTTAACCCTCGTGTGTAGTTCTCCCCACAGACTCCGGCCACAGAACCCCTGCGCCCCTGTGGCCACCCGCTTCTCACGGAAGGTGGAAGTCTGTGGCGAGCAGAGTCCTGGGAAAGAGTCGCCTCGCTTTGTGCTAAGCAGCGCCCCCGGGGGCCCGAGGAGAGCGAATGGGACCGCCTGTAAAGGACCCGTTTGCTCTGTGTCCTCTGGCCGGAGTTAGCCTCTCCCAGGCTTTCTCTCTGAGCATCTCTAGGACTCGCAGTCGCCCTGCGGGCTGGCTCCCACACCCGGCAGGACTTCGCCTGCTCTCCTCCCCCCACGTGTCCATTCCCCGGGCCCGGGGCCATCTGCTCCTGCTCTGCCGCAGGGTGGTGGTGGGCGCCCCCCAGGAGGTGAAGACGGCCAACCAGACGGGAGGCCTGTACCAGTGTGACTACAGCACGGCCGCCTGTGAGCCCATCCAGCTGCAGGGTGAGCCCTCCCTAGGCCGGCCTGTCCTGCGGGGCACGTCCCTGCGCTCGCCGGGCACCCCCTTCGCTCCCTTTGTTCTGGGGGAGGCTCTGTGGTTGGGGCCCCAGGGGTCAGCTCCAGCCTCTGTGTGGTGGGCGCCTCTACCCCCCGCACCCTCAGGCACTCCTTGCCCATGACCCGGTGCCCTCTTGGCCTGCCAGCCTGTGTCCCCAGGTCAAAGTGACCTCTGTCTAGCTTCTCTCGGGCCCTTTCATCTCCTGACTGTGACCTTGACCGTGTGTGTCCTCAGTGCCCCCGGAGGCGGTGAACATGTCCTTGGGTCTGTCTCTGGCATTTGCCACCAACCCTTTCCGGCTGCTGGTGAGTTGCCCTGGGTTACGCAGGGTCTGAGGGGAGGCGTGGAGACCTGGAGCTGCTGGGGCTGGGGTCTTGCAGAGGATGGAGATGTTGGCGTAAAAGGACAGCGCCCCCCACACCCTGCCTTCCAGGCCTGCGGCCCCACCCTGCACCAGATGTGCCAGGAGAACACCTACCTGAACGGCTTGTGCTTCCTGTTTGGATCCAACCTGCAGCAGCCGCCCCAGCGGTTCCCCAGGGCCCTGCGAGGTAGGCGGTGTGGTGCCCAGTGAAAGTGGGCAGCAGAGGCTGGAGGCAGGGCAGCCTGGACTGGGGCCGCTCAGAGTCTGGAGCGTGACTTAGAAGTCTAGGTGTAGAAGGTTGTGACAGAGAGAGGGAAACAGAAAGAGAGAGAGAGAGAGAGAGAGAGAGAGAGAGAGAGAGAGAGAGAGAAGAAGAGATGAGAGGAGTGCTAGGAGAGGGCCAAGTACTAGGGACTTGAACTTCAAGAAAAGTCCTGATAGGGCACTCGTCTTTGTAAGGTGACATTCCAAACACTGTCCTTACAGTCAGTGCCTTGTCTCCTGGTCAGAGGCTCCGGAGCTTTAGGTGGTGAGGCCCCTGCCCACTCTCCCCCTCCGCCTCCCCCTTCTCCCACCCCTTCTCTTCTCTCAGCCCTTCTCCCCCCCCCCTTGTCTGGCAGCCACTGTGCTCTGGCCACAATGGCTGTCTTTTTTCTCCAAGAACCACACCCAATGGCCCTGCCTCAGCGCCTTTGCTTTCATCGCTCACCATTCCTTCAGCTTGGCATGCTCTTCCCCAGCCCTCAGCTGACAGCCCATTAGTGCCATCTCAGCTCCAATGGCCTCCTTGGAGGCCTGCCCTTCCTGCCAGCCCCACCTGGACTCCCTGCCACATCGCCCAGCTACTGTCCTCAAGTCTGCATTTCCATTTTCTGCTGTTTCTCATCTGTCCCTTCCTCTGCAATGTCGGCTCCATGACAGCAAGGCTGTTGCCTAGCTTGCTCACTGCTCTATGCGTTTGTATTGATTGCTTCATCACAAATTCCCTCTGAAGGTAGCAGCTAAAAACAACAAGATTAATTATCTTGCAGCTTCTAGGAATCAGGAGTCTGGGCGTGCCCTAGCTGGATGCCTCTGCCTAAGGCCATGGTCCCCAAACTGCAGCTCGAAAGCCATGTGCTGGTCTTTGGCCCCTTGAGTGTGGCGCTTCCACAAAATACCACGGCCTGGGCGAGTCTATTTTGAAGAAGTGGCGTTAGAAGAAGTTTAAAACCACTTTAAAAATTTGGCTCCAAAAGAAATTTCAGTCGTTGTCCTGTTGCTATTTGGCTCTGTTGACTAATGAGTTTGCCGACCACTGGCCTAAGGCTTGCTCATGAGATGAAGTCAGGTTGTCACACCAGAGCTGTTGTCTCATCTGAAGGCCTGAAAGCCACCTCCAAGCTCGCTTCCAGGTTGTTGCACGGAGGCCCGGGGCCTCACTGGCTGGGGCCAGAGGCTCCCCCTAGCTATTTGTCACAGGGACCTCCACAGCGAGCAGCGAGCACCATCGCAGTGGCTTCCCTCAGGGTGGGGATAAAGACTGAGAGAGCCGAAACCGGTTTGGCTCAGTGGATAGAGCGTCAGCCTGCGGACTGAAAGGTCCCAGGTTTGATTCTGGTCAAGGGCATGTACCTTAGTTGCGGGCACATCCCCAGTAGGGGATGTGCAAGAGGCAGCTGATCAATGATTCTCTCTCATCGATGTTTATAATTCTCTATCCCTTTCTCTTCTCTCTGTAAAAAAAATCAATAAAATCTAATATATATATATATATATATATATATAAAAGACAGAGAGAACAGAGAGCAGGCACCTAAGCAGAAGTCACAGTCTTTTCTTAAACAAATCTCAGAAGTTACAGCTCAGAACTTCTGCAATTTCTTCGAAGTGAGTCAAAAAGTTCCGTTGAGCCCGGCCGGCATGACTCAGTGGTTGAGTGTTGACCTAAGAACCAGGAGGTTAGAGTTTGATTCTGGGTCAGGGCACATGCCTGGGTTGCAGGCTTGATCCCCAGTGTGGGCATGTAGGAGACAGCTAATCAATGGTTCTCTCTCACCATTGTTGTTTCTATCTCTCTCTCCTCTCTTCCTCTGTGAAATCAATAAGAACATTTAAAAAAAAAAAAAAAAGTTTAGCTAAGCCCTAGCTGGTTTGGCCATATGGGTAGAGCATAGCTGTGGACTGACGGGTCCCAGGTTCGATTCCAGTCAAGGGCATGAACCTTGGTTGCAGGCTCCATCAGGACCCATGTGGGTGGCAACCAATCAAGGCATCTCTCTCACATTGATGTTTTCCTCTCTGTGTCTCTCCCCCTCTCCCTCCCATCTTTTCTAAAAATGGAAAAATATCCTCAGGTGGGGATTGACAACTCACTCAAAGAGAGTGTCATTCTGCACAAAATAAATAAATAAATAAAAATTAAAATTAAAAATCCAGTTAAAACTCAAGAGGAGGTGCCTGGTTCCCCAAAAACTTGTGATGGAAGGAGCGAGCGAGTGGACCTTTTCTAAGCTGCTCTCGGCCGCCGCTTCCTCTCACTGCTGGGCCTTCTTTTTGCTCGTCTCCACGTTGGCTCTGGAACCGAGGACAGTGTCCTCCGTGTAAGTTTCTCCCCCTTCCGTCTGTTCCTCTGCTCTCTGCCCTCACCGGAGAGCTGCCTCCTTCTCCCCGGAGAAAACCACACCACAGGCGGGACCTCCCTCCAGGCCCCTCTCCTGTCCCACCCGCCTCGAGGGCACCAGGCACCTCTCACTGGGGTTGGAGGAGGCCCTGCCTCGGCCTCAGAGGTTCTTTCACGCCCCCGACCTGGGGCTCCTATGGCCAATCACTCATTCCCTCTGGACCTTAAATGTCTCCCATTCCTTTCATGGAAACCTGCTGCTGATACCCGCATCTTAGACACAATGAAGGACTACACTTTATACCAACATAACCTTCCCCTCCTGCTCGCCGCCCTATTCCCTCCCCACCCACTCCCCTTCCCTTCATCAAACATCTTCGAAGGGCTTTCTTTCTCCGATTGACTCCCTCTCCCAGGTCCTGGCCTCACACTCAGTCATCTGGCTTCTCCCATCCCTGCACAGACTCTTACAAATGGCATCTGTGACCCTGATTGGGGAGCGTCTTTTCTGTCCTCATGGTCACTGGCCTCTCTAAGGTGACCTGCAGACCTTCCTTCCCCACACAGCTCAGCCTAGGGGGTCCCGCCCTCTTCTCTCCCCGTCCCTTCCTGTTTCTCCCCTGCAGAGGGCTGCTGCTAAGCATCACTGCCAGGCCATCTCCCCTGCCTGCCCACCTGCCCTGCCTGCCCAGGGCACCGGTGACAGTTCCTCTTCCCTCCATGTGTTCTTCCTGCCTGACGGCTCCACTTCTGTGGCTTCAGCTCCCATCCTCACATCTCTCTCTTCCGTCCTCACTCTCAGGAGCTCAAGACTCTTCTTTGGAAACCATTTCCTGCCTTTCCGTTTCTCCTAAGATGCACGTGGTTGGAAACGCAGTGGCACTAAGGGGTGGACCGGGAGACTCTCCCTCTTGGTCCCCAGCGTCTGCTTCCTGTCCCATGGGCGGACTCGAACTCACAGCCGTTTTGGTGCAGCGGGTGACAAGCCAAGCAACTGAGCCACTTGGCTGGCGCTGCCTGTGTATTTTAAAAAAGCCAATACTTTTTGGGTAATTTTAGTTTTTAATGTCCTACAATAAAATTGACCTTTTTTCTTCTTTTAAAAATTAATTTATTTTTCAATTGCTGTTGCTCTATATTGGTTTCAGGTGTACAACATAGTGATTAGGCATTTATATGCCTTTGAAGGGATCACTCTGATAAATCTGACACCATACGTCGTTATTACCCATCTGACACCATACGTCGTTATTACAATATTATTGACTATTTTCCTTTGTCCTGCCTTACATCCCCATGGCTATTTTTAGGGTACAGTCTCATGAATTTTAAGAGATGTATCTAAAACAACATGAACAGCATATCAGAGAGTCCCATACCCCCTAAGAAAACCTTTCTGCCTTTATAGTCAGTTGCCTCCACCCCTTCACCCCTGGCCTGGCACTCACTGCTCTGCTCTCTATCACTATATACACGTAGTTTGTCTTTTCAAGAATGTTACCTACATGGACTCATAACCTTCTGAGTTTGCATTTGGGATTCATTCACATTGTTGTGTGTATCAGTAGTTCTTTCCTTTTTATTGCTGAGTACTATTCCATTGCACAGATTTCCCACAGTCCCACTCTCAGATTCACTCATCGAAGGACGTTTGGGTTATTTCCCATATTTTACATCATGACTAGAGCTGCTCCAAATCTTCCCTGCTACGGCTGCCTTTCTACAACATAAAAACATCATCTCTCTCCCTTCCCTAAGAACCATCCGTGGCTCCCCACTGCCGAAGGGGTAAAGTCAAACTTCTTTTTGGATAGAGAGGCTCTTTCCAACTGCTCTCTGCTAATGTCACAGCCCCGTCTCCATCTCCCTCATATCGATTTACCTGGGTAGTTCCAGGTCCATTCCGGGGTTCTGCCAGAATTCTTTGAGGCCCATCCCCTTTGTATCAGTGGGACAGGTGGCACATTCCAGCTAAGATAACTCAAAGGGACTATTTACAAAGGGACTAATCATAAAGTTGTGGTAGGGTCTAAGCTACTAAGGACAGTCCAGGAACCCATGGCCAGCAGAGCTGTCACCACCCCTAAGTTGATAAGATAAGGAGGGGGAAAGTCACCGGAATCCAGAGGAGAGGAAGTGTGTGGAGCGGGCCTCCTTGAGAGGAAGGGCGATCTGCTGAGGGACACAGCCGGCTAGAGCAATCTTACAGGGAGGGAGCCAAGTGGATCTCACTTTTCTCCCTCCCTCCAGTCTCCTGGGGAAGCTCCTAACTGTGCAACTCCAATGAGAAGCCAGAGGGTAAGAGCCCTGTTGCTCTGGACCTCGTGGGCCACTTCTCCCAGGCTGCGGAGCGGAGAGGGGAGGGAGAAAGTAGATTTGGGGCTGAGGGCAGAAGGAAGAACATCCAGCCAACCTTTTTAGATGCTATTCCTCCCCCCTTCCCCGCCCCAATAACTAGTTTCTTCCATGATATTCCTGGCAAATTATTTCTCATTCTTCATGAGGTAGCTCTAATGTCACTACTTTCCCTGACTCCCTTGGGCAGAATTAACCAATTGTTTTTCATACTGCCGAGAACCCATTCCAGCATGTAATAATTACAAGAGTCAAACGGTTGATGGGACTTGGGAGGCTCAACAAGGGTGAGCCACATATGTAATTTACTTGTTGGAAATGGCTAAAAGGCACTTCCCCCAAACCTGAATAGGATTGTTAGCTGCTAGACAGCTCAGGCCATTTTATTGCCTCCTGTTGCCCAAACATCTGAACAGCTGTCGGCCAGTCCCCAAACTGATAATGCTTCTGTACCCTTTGATACCTTACCCCTTGAAGTGTATATTTTCACCTTGCCTTGGGACAAATTGTGTTGAATAAAAACTTGGGTCCTTGGTCAAGGAAGAGTCTTCAGTTCCTTTTAGCTGAAGCTCCACTAACCCCCCAATGTCTTTCAAAAATATCTTTAGTCTTTGGACTCCTTTTTAATATTCTATGCACAAGACTATACTTTCAGGGATCATTTCTATAGTTCGTTAATAATCTATGCACAGCCCCTTTCCCAGAATGCTGAACCCTTTGTAAGGCTGGGAAAAGACTTCCGGCATTATGGTGCCCTAACTAGGGACACCAACACATACCAATTTGTCCATATTTTTATTTTTAAAATATTTTAATGGATTTTTAGAGAGAGAGACGAGAGGCCATGAGAGGAACAGAGAGATAGAAATATCTATGAGAGAGAAACATCATGGATTGCTCCTCCTGCATGCCTACTACTGGGCAATCAAGCCTACAACCCGGGCATGTGCCCAGGTTGGGAATCAAACCATTGACCTCTTGGTTCATGGGTTGATGCTCAACCAGCGAGCAACATGGGTGGGGGGATGGGGGAGCTGGGCTATCTACATTTCTATTTACTTTGGAGATGGGTTGACTGGTACCCTTGAGCCTCATGGTTCAGCAGCTAGCCTACAGCTGTACTGAAGCCGGAGCACCTAATCACTCTGCACTCTTTCCACGGTCCAGAGTGCCCCCGGCAGGAGAGTGACATTGCCTTCTTGATTGATGGCTCTGGCAGCATCAACAGAGATGACTTTCAGCGGATGAAGGAGTTCGTCTCAACTGTGATGAATCAGTTCACAAAGTCCAACACCTTGGTGAGGGCCAATGGGGAGGTTAGGGAACAGCCCATGCAAGGCTGCAAGGACATAGCAACAGGCCACCGCTTTCCTCTCCTCCCTCAACTACAGACTTTGACAAATGGTCAGTCGGTCGTGGTTTTCTTCCACGAGTCTCCATCTTGCTCTATCTGGGTGAAGCCTCAGTACTCTCCAACTCTCTGTAAAGCGGGCAGCTCTGACTGTTGGATAGGGGTTGGCATGGGAGATGAAACCCCATGTCGTCTCTGCCTGAGTTCTAGTACTGAGAGCTGATGGCAGGCGTCTTTCCTGGTGGGGCAGAAAGAGGGGGGCAGTGTAGGATTTGGAGACCAGAGTGCTTTAAGATTTCTGCAGGGCTTTCTGGGAGATGGCTGGGGGGAGAGGGGGCAGTCGTGGAGGCCTCCTCTTCTTTGGTGTAATGCCAGGTCTCCGCCCCCAGTTCTCTTTGATGCAGTTCTCTAATGCGTTCAGGACGCACTTCACCTTTAAAGATTTCAAGGCTAACCCGAACCCGAATCTACTGGTGACGCCAATCAGACAGCTGGACGGGACGACACACACGGCCACGGGAATCCGCAAAGTGGTGTAAGCTCTTTTTGCTTGGAATGTGAACAGGGGTGACCCTTTTAGCTGGGTTTTGAAGGATGAGAGGAAGGGCAGGGAGGGAGTAAAGGATATTTCTGGCTGAGGGAACAGCATGCTAAGTGTGGAGGAGGGATTGTTCATGACAAAGCAAGTTGTGAGTAAAGGTGGGAGTGAAGGGGAAAGTGAGAGGAAGGTTGGAGGGAGGCTGGAGAGATCAATCGAGGCCAGAGAGGATCCACAGGAGGTTTTAAACAGTGGGAAGATGGACCGGACCAATCACTCTATTTGGAATGTTCACTCTGATTTCTGTGAGTGTGAATGTTTATGTGTGTATGTGAGTGTGAGTGTGTATATGTGTGAGAGTGTGTGTGTGAGTGTATGTGTGGTGTACTTATGTGTGAGAGTGGGTCTATGTGTGTGTGAGTGTATGCATGCGTGAGAGTGTGTATGTATTTGTGACTATGTGTGTGACTCTGTGTGAGTGTGTATGTGTGAGAGTGGGTCTATGTGTGTGTGAATATGTGTGTAAATGTATGTATGTGTGAGAGTGGATATATGTGTGAGAGTGTGTATGTATGTGTGAATATGTGTGACTATGTGTGAGTGTGTATGTGTGAGAGTGGGTCTATATGTGTGTGAATATATGTGAGTGGGTGTATGTGTGTGTGTATGTTTGTGTGTGAGTGTGTGTATGTGTGAGTGTATGTGAGCATGTGTATGCGTGCATGTAAGTATGTGTATGTGTGTTTGTGTATGTGACTGTGTGTATGTATATGTGTGAATGTATGTGTGTGTGTATGTGTGAGAGTGTGTGTATGTGTGTGACTATGTGTGTGAGAGTATATGAGTGTATGTGTGAGTATGTGTGTATGTGTAGAGTCAAAGATGGGGTGGGACAAAAATGCAGGAGGTAAGCTTATTAAATAAACAATTAAGCTTATTAAATATACTATATAATAAAAGAGCAATATGCAAATTAACCATCCCTTTGCTATACCCACAAACCACGCCCACCACACATGCCCACCAGTCAATCAGAGCGAGTATGCAAATTAACCCCAACCAAGATGGCTGTGGCCACAGAGAGCAGGAAGGAGGCTTGGGTTTCCCTGGCAATGGAGGAAGCCAAGCTTTTCACACACCCTGGTAGGCCCAGGCCTCCACTCAAGGGTACAATGTTTCAATGACAGAAGGTAAATAAATTCCAACAGAAATGGCAGCAGCCACTGAGCTGGAAGAGCAGGAGGTTAGGGTTTCCCTGGGTGAGGGAGGAAGCCAAGCTTCTGCAGCCCTGGCCGGCTCAGGCCTTCATTCCAGGCTATAAAGTTTCAATTGTAGAAGGTAAATAAATTCCAGATACCAGGGCCTCCGCTTGGGTCACCGGGGAGCCTGGCTGGCCAGCAAATCACCCAGGCCACCACACACCCCAAGGGAAACCCACCCTGATCCAAGACACTCTTCAGAGCAAACCCATACACTAGCCCTCTCTCCTATCTAATAAAAGAGTAATATGCAGATTGACCATCACCCCAACACACAATAGGCTGCCCCCATGTGGAAAAGATCCTGCCCCCATGTGGACACAAGATGGCCACCACAAGATGGCCAGCAGGGGAGGGCAGTTGGGAGAGACCAGGCTTGCCAGGGAGGGCAGTTGGGGGTGATCAACCCTGCAGGGGAGGGCAGTTATGGGTGACCAGGCCAGCAGAGGAGGGAAGTTGGGGGCAAACAGGCTGGCAGGGGAGCAGTTAGACATCAATCAGGCTGGCATGGGAGTGGTTAGGGGGTGATCAGGTTGGCAGGCAGAAGCGGTTAGGGGCAATCAGGAAGGCAGGCAGGTGAACAGTTGGGAGCCAGCAGTCCTGGATTGTGAGAGGGATGTCCCAGATTGGAGAGGGTGCAGGCTGGGCTGAGGGACACTCCCCCACCCCCGCCCCAGTGCACGAATTTCATGCACCAGGCCTCTAATGTGTGTGTGTGTGTGTGTGTGTGTGTGTGTGTGTGTGTGTGTGTGTACTTTTTAATTTAAAAGGAATAATAGTTAAAAAACGCACTCTCTGCAAAAGCGTGGAGAAGCAGTGAGGGCGTTCCCGCCACTGCTCTCCCCTCTCCTGCTGCCTTCACCCCAGTGTTCGCTCCGGGAGCCAAGCCGCCCTGGGCGTCTCCCCTGCGGCTGGGCCGGCTGACCCTCAGCATCAGCCCATCTCCGCCGCTCGCACTGACCCCCTCCCCTCCCCGCAGAAGAGAACTGTTTGTCCGCAGCAGCGGCGCCCGGGAGAACGCCCTTAAGATCCTCGTGGTCATCACAGACGGAGAGAAGTATGAGGACCTCTTGGAGTACCAGGATGTCATCCCGGAGGCGGACAGGGCGGGCATCATTCGCTATGTCGTCGGGGTAGGAAACGGGCTCCCGGCTTGTTGCCTCTGCGAGGATTTCTGTTTAACCCCCCTCCCCCCGCCCCCCTTGCGATGAGCAAAAGCGAATAAAATGGGAGCGGCTGCTGTCCCCGCTGAGCCCTGTCCACGATGCTGTGTCAGAAACTCACCCAATCCATGGCTAGGACATTGGGGGGGGTGGGGAGGGGAGAGAGGGGCAGTTATTCGGGTCTCAGCAGGGCTCATGGCTGGGTGCTCTCATGCGCCCTTTGCTGGCAGGGAGCGGGGGTGGGTGGGGTGGGGGCAGTAGTAACAGGCTCTTCTGCTCCACCTCAGCCTCCAGTGGCCTGGCCGGGCCTCCTGGCCAGGGCAGAGGAACCAAGAGCCAGTGGAGATGTTGCAAGCACCGTTTCAAGCCTCTGCTTGCATCACACTTGCTGACATGCATGTGCTGACCGCAGAGATAGGAGCAGGCGGTCCTTGGCCCAGAGCAGGAGGCACAGCAATGCTTTGGGGAAATGGCTCGGGCTGGGGAATGGGTAAAGGGTCGGGACCACCAGTGTCACCAGACTCGCACGGAGCCGTGTGACAGGAAAGGGTGCCCCTTCCTAAAAGGAAAAGGCGGGGAGCCAGCCCCACAGGAGCCAGCTCAGCTCAGGGACCCAGGGCGGGGTTCAGTCCCAGCTGCCCCTCACCCCCTGACAGAGAGGACAACCGCTCTCCCCTCCTTGGCAGCCGGGCCCGGGGCCGCTGGAGCTGTGTCCTGGGCCACACGTGGTTTCCGGAGCTGTTCCTGCAGAACGCTCTTTGCGGGATGTGTGTGGCCTGATCCGGCCTCTGTTCCTCGGTAACAGGTGGGCAATGCCTTCGACAACAAGAAGAACCGCGAGGAGCTGGACACCATTGCGTCCAAGCCGTCTCGCGACCACGTGTTCCAGGTGACCAACTTCGAGGCGCTGAAGACCATTCAGGACCAGCTGCAGGAGAAGATCTTTGCGATCGAGGGTGAGCTCAGGTTCCGCGTTTCCGGAACAGCCCCGGCGGCAGCCCTGGGCCCCGAACACTAGCCCCTCCGAGCCTCTGGTATCCTGACCCTCAGCGTCAGCCCTCTTTCGCTTCCTCCATTTCCAGCAACTCTGGCTCCACTTGGTCAGTGCCTTTGGAACAGAAGGATCTAGACTTGTTCCCCCTCTAATATTGCCGCTCTTGGCCACAGGCTGAATATTTGGAGGGCAGGGGAGCCAACCTCCCCCACCCCCACCCCCCGTATTTTTCTAGAAATGTGGATGTTGCCAACATTTGTCTGTTTGGTTCACTCCTGCCTTCCCAGTGCCTCAGCCTGGTGCAGAGAGGGTGCTTGATGAAAGTTTTCTGGGTAAAAGAATTTAAAGTTGGAGAAGTTCACATGCAGTTTGGATTTATGGCTGCTCTTGAAAAGCTGGGACATTATACACCTACAGGACCACAATCCCACTGGCAAAAAGTGGCTGGAGCCAAAGAGCCACCATCCCTTTAAAAGGGGCGGGGCATATGCTTTCCCCTTTAACATGGCTCTCTTTGACCACCAAAGCACGTGCATGTGTGTTTGCGTGTGTGTGTGTGTGTGTGTGTGTGTGTGTGTGTGTGTGAGTGCGCGCGCGCTTTACAGGAATATAAAACTATGTATTGACCTCTGTTTACCGGTACTTACAATCAAGGCAACAACGTGCAGTTGGGTAACACCATTCACTACAAAGGGGCTGTTTTTCCTGCTTCGCTGAACCAGTCCCCCAAATGCTGAGACAGAGCTACATGTGAGGGATGAGTCGGGCTAAAGAGAAAACAGGCGGGTCAAGAGTTTAGATGACAACAGTTTGTTCACCACCGATTCCAGCAGGTCCTCATGGCCAAGGTCTCTAACTACCTGTTTGGGCTTCCATGACAAAGTCTTACACAGCCCCTGAGTCAGGACACCGCAGTCAGCCAGGCACAGGGGTTTCAACTCCAGGTAAAGGGACGGCTCCTGAGGAAGCGGCTTTGAGTAAGCCCCTTGATTAACCCTCTAGTTTTCCCATTTGGGAGGGAGTTTGTTGGTAGTGACAAAACTTTCCTTTGAGGAGTTTTCAAATAAACTTGCATTTATGGTTGTAGATATGGATAGAGATTCTGATATGACTGCTCTTAAATGGCCCGATTTAATCTGTTTACATTATATTTAAACTAGAGCCCTGGTGCACAAAATTTGTGCCCCCCTGTGGGGAGCATTCTTAATTCCAGCGTGTGCCCCCTCACAGTCCAGGAGTTTTGGGGATGTCTGACTGATGGCTTTGGCCCCTCTCCTGCCCTGCTGTGGAGGTGGGAGGGGCTCCTGACACCCAGCTGTACTTGCCAGCTGTGAACCCAGCTTCTGGCTTGAGCAGGGGAGTGCACTGACCACCACGAGGCAGCTCCTGCATTGAGCATCTGCCCCCTGGTGGTAGGCATGCATCATAGCAACTGGTCATTCTGCCTTTTGGTTGATTTGCATATTATCCTTTTATTATATTGGATTTCCCAGTTAATTACCAATTACCTACTTAATTCTGGAGGTTATAGCCTCAGGGGAAATTTCAGTGGTGTGGTAGTGATTTATTTCTTAGGCAGCTCAGA